TTCATTTCAGATGTGCCTATTGACTGTTGGCGGTGCCTATCATTATTGTATATAACAGTCAAAGCTATTGTATTCGAGCACCGAGCCACGAGCAAATCGGTCGGACCATCACACCCACACAGATTGAGAAATACTGGGAACCCAGCATCATTGTACTATACTTATATAGGTATATAAACTTTATGTAACTGCGTCAGGGTTGGTAATCTCTGTCTCCGATTCTATTTTTACTCCGTTCTCCCCAGTGGCTCTCCGTTGCTTTAACCCTATTTTCTTCCGTATTAAAACATGCCACAGATATTCCATTAAATTTGTTTATTGAGCGCTGGTTTTGTAACAATGATTCACAACATTTTGATTTGGTTAGAAAGCTGTTATTATTCTTGTTAATCCGTCGCCTTTAATATAACTAGCCGATATGAGAATGTTTTCGAAGCAGAATAGGTAATAGTCTGTTAAGAATGTTACAGTATACTTTGACTGTGCCTGTGAATTATGTTTTGATGGTTCTCGATTTCAATTTATCCAATATCCATGCATGCTTACTACAGATTGTTTGATACTTGCCTTCAAAAACACGAAGGAGCTTGAGATTGCTATCTTTTGATCAGTCATTCGAAGACTGATCTTAAAGATTGGCATTCAACGTCAATAAACGCAGATCAAAGTTCTTTCATCACGAATATTATGTGTTATCTATTTATGAACTTTAATTTTAATATTTATCGCCTATAGAATCGATATTGATTACTCCATATAAAATTAAGTTTGGAACAAAATCCCCACCAATATTTGTTTGGTTCAATGTCCCACGCTGTAAAAGCTCTGCCATGTGTAGATAACTGCTATTACTGCGGGTATTTTCCCTACGAGTTTTCGAGGGACACAGCCCTTTACAGTGTCTCGTATTTTTTTATTGTAAAATTACCTATACATAGATATTTCAGGCTCTAAGGCAAATACATAGCTTCGCATGAGTAGAGAAAGAGTAATTGTATGTTTTCAGTACAAAAACCTCACGTGATTTTCGAATTTTCTTACAATATGTATGCTTATTTTTCAAATAAACTCTTTCTTACGATTTTGTCCTGGCCATATAGAAGAACATAATGATACATAATTATCTAATAAGGCGCAGTATTTCGGAGTAATCTCGTACATACTATACATTAATAGGTGAAATCCAATTAATTTCGATTCCCAGTTCAAAAGAAATTCATCGATTTCAAATATATCCTTTGAATTATTCAAATATCTAAATATAGCTTTATTCAAATTAGACGACGCATTTTTTAAACTAACCATTGGTTGGTTCGTGAAAATGGAAGTAGGAAAATATATGTCATAAATTATAATTAGTCTTGATATTTAGCTAAAACGAATAGGGTCAAGTTCATGGGACATGTGTTAAAGCAACCAACAACAGCTCGCGCTTTAATTTGTTTGATATAAAATTTCTTAGCACGAATAAGATTTGGCAATGTTGAATTCGTTTCACGTACAGCAGCAAATCCAAACATTCATAAAAGAATCATTTTACAAATGCTTTTTTAGACTTTATTTATAAGCTTGTATATCGTTACACGGATATTTTTTATTAGATGAAAAAAATATTGTCAAAGGAGTCATGGAAGTCTAGTGGACGGAGGCATGAAAGGTTGCCGTAAGTAACAGTAATAATATTACAATCTGTGATATAAATGAAAAGTAATAATATATTAATGAATCTTTTTAATATTTAGAAAATGTAACATTTTTCCATTCTTGAGTTTTGCTTTGTGGATCAAAAGCCTAGTGTTTACAAAAGACAATTTGTGATAATATTTGACCAAGAATGAATAACTTACAAAGGATAAGATGTGGTTTAAAACTCCCGTAGCTAAGTATGCCATTGTTTACCAAAAAACACTGTAACGAACACTTTCTTTTCTTCTTTCTTTCTTTCTTAAATAACAAATTGGCAAAGAATGTTAGTTAACGAATCTTGCCCAGATCTGAGTCCTAACTAAATAAAATAGTTGTGCGTCAGTAACTAAACATACTGGCGAGGCGTAAACTTAATTTAAATTCGTCGAGTTCCAACCATTCCCGCAATTACATAGCGCGAGAAGATACGTTAAATCACTTTAAATTTTAAATTAATTTAGGGATTCTATCGTAGCGAAGTCCTAATTGCTCATCATCATTAGCTAGTCTGTTAATATCTGTTATACTGAAATAAAGACCTACCTTATGGTCATAATCAAATACGAAATCAAAAATTAGATAATGAATAATATCTCATTACGTCAATTACAGAGATAATAAATACCTGCAGTCTGAAAAGGCTTTACGTTCCAAGGAAGCAATAAAATAGAAAATCAAAGAAGCATATTTGTTGTCACATATTCGACGATCGATCTTTTCAAACATCTATACTAATAACATAAAGCTGAAAAGTTTGTTTGTTTAATTGTTTGTTTCGTCGATTGAACGCGCTAATCTCAGACTCTACTGGTCTGATTTAAAAAAATATTTTTGTGTTGGATAGTGCATGTATCGAGTAATAACGCTACAATTAATAGGAGTGGAACACCAATAAAAAATGTTACAAAAACAGGAAAAATATTCCAGTTGGGAGCTTCCGTCGCATGCGCTGCGTAAACGGTAAAAGTTACACAAAAATCATGTATGGCGAAACTGTTCCTCTTTAAAAGTTCTATAAAAAAGTCCACAACTGCATATGTGTATCTTTTAAGGGTGACTTGACTATAACCTTTTTCCTCGAACGAATGTGGGTGAAACCGCAGGGCACGTAATTACTTATAAGTTTGTAGTCGCAGACAGGAGGGCTTTCGCCGTTATGGCTTAATGGGAATGTTAATATAATTAGGAACCTACATTTCGTAATACTTCTTCATCTACAATGTTAATTTCACAAAACTTTGTTTAAGTCATATTAATACTTTGAAATTATTAATTAGCTAACCCGTGGTTGCTTTAGCCCTTGTTACAATATACTTGTATAATTATCACTTTTCTGTGTTTTTATGAATGTAATATTTTTAGCTAGATAGCCAAGATATATATGATGTTTCTAGGGTTCTGGGCCTCGTAAGAAAATAATGAAGCCCTTATATGCTCACTTTGTGGACCATCTATCCGTCTATCAAGACACTTTTCTATTAGAACCGCGTGAAGATATCAATCTGAAATAAACAGCTCTGCAATCCCATGGCTCGTAAAATAACATATATGCAACGCAATCAAATGATGCGACCATTTAACTGTGCCCTGTTTATGTCGTACATTTTGATGCTCGCGGGGTACTCAAAACCTAACAGGTTCAATCCCGTTGACCTAGAATCATTTATATCAAATTTTGGCAAGAAGCCATGCCATAAAGCACAAGAAAAGATTTTTAGGAGTGGAAGAGCAATGCGGATTTCCCGCTCGAATTGAAACGTCCTTCCGGGGAAGCAACCTCTACCTTACACAAGTAAACACAGTTAAAGCACACTCCCTTCTCTGGCTGGTTCCGAGGGGTAGGGGATTAGGTCAGGGTAAGCAACGATAGGGAGCTCGATGGCGCAAGTGGTTAACGCGTTCGGCTGCTAAACTTTCGTAGTGGTCGGTCATTGAATGGGTGACCAAAAATTTACTATCTCGAGCTCCTTCGTGCTTCGGAAGGCACGTTAAGCCGTTGGTCCCGGTTGCATCTGCAGTCGTTAGTACCCACCAATACGCACTGGACCCGCGTGGTGGGTCATGGCCCAATCTCCCTATTCCAACCATAGGGAAGGCCTGTGCCCCAGCAGTGGGGACATTAATAGGCTGATGATGATGATGGTGATGAGGCAACGATGCCAGTGATATTTTTTACATCGCAAGCGTCTCTAGGTTATTGTGGCCGATTTCCATCAGGCGGGCCGTAAGCTTGTTAACCACAATTTTAACATAAAAATTAAGAAAAGGAAGAAATCCGAAAATAGGTTTACAATTACATCACAAAAATAAATATTTGCGATTTACCAATTGCAAAATATAGATATTTATCACTGAATTCGATTCCAATTATTACCCTCAGTGCGCGATTCCGACTAGCACTTGGCCTACTTTTATTGCAATTTTACAAGAATTACCTTCAACTGAATTTATTTATCATCCTTTTCTAAATATAAACCAATCGATAAAACGTTTCCGCGATACGCGATATTACTAAAATACTTAAAATTGCTCACATACTTACGAGTAAAGTATAAAATTTATTTCATGAATCACATTAACCTTAAATTTAATAGCTGTCTTTTAAGGCAATATAGTGTTCCAAACAAGGCAATCATGGTTCAAAGGCAACTTCCTAAGAATTATATTTCGTGTTTTATAAACCATATCAAATAGCTATTGCGTTGCGAAGTTAAGTCTAGTCATAAGAACCTTACCCCATAATCTTTCTCAAACAAAATCTTTGCTCCAATGTTGACAACAACAACCCTTTTATCAAAACCTGAAGCTATATTGCCGCTATAACAACAAATAATAAAAAATAAAATAAAGTTCAAAAATTAAAGGATCCCCCATTCTCGAAACATAATTTTGATCTCTACATTTTTGGTCAACTTAAACAAATTTAAAGTGTAGACCTTATACGATATATTTTTCCCCTAGATAGTTACAGAAAAATTGAAAACTATAAAATAAACTGTTTTAGTAGTGTTTCTTAAATTAAAGACAATAAAATAGATAATACGATACAACAAAACAACAATAACTTTGTAACCTAAAAGGTGCATAAATTAAACAGCGAGTGTTTCGCACAAATATCACAACAGCATGTGACGCCTGATCCTTCAACAATTGAAACACAAGGAATTGCCCACAGCAAAATATCCAACAACGAAATGGGATCATACAAAAAGAGGGTTAGGTACGGAAAGTCGAAATTCCTCTAAGTTAATTTCTCCAACAGACGCGCTCGTAATTTCTCGCCTGTAATTATTATTACGTTGTTAGTTACTTACCGGTGCGTTTTCCCGCGCTGGCTCGAAGTTCGTTCGGAAGGAAAGCGTATGTCCGCCGTGACAGCGTTCCGCGGTCTGAAGGGTCTTCTCCTTACATCGTAACAGCGATGGCGACGCACCGCGACGCGCCTGCGCTCTCCTATGACGTCAATGGGTTCGTTCACAAAACACACAGGTCTACAGGTGTTGGTGTTTTAACTACATATATACCGCAGTGGCCGCGTGTTCGAAACGACTTGGGTCTTTAACTTTGCTAGACATTCAGATCCCTTAAAATACTTAAATTGGTAATAAAAGTTTAAATTAATAATAAATTGCGTAATAAAGATAACAATTTAAAGGAGATCCTCCAAAAAAGCCCCGGTGCTACAGAAAAGTAACTCAGATTTTAGAGTAAAAATATTTAAAATATCCTAAAGTTTAGCTTTTGCTCAATTAGGATGCTAACATAGTTTTTAGAGCGTAGAAGTTATAAAGGCGCTAGATGTAAAAAAAAGTCACTGCAAAAGTACAGTGGTCATATTAGGTCTTCAGTCCTAAACTCGCTTTTTAGAGATTCGAGAAGGTAAATATAGTGTTAATTAGAAAGAAAGAAGTACAAATATGTTGTTGTGAAAGCATTTATCCTATTAATTTGAACACATCAAAATACTGTTTTAGCAACCTGTACATGCAATGTGTACGACACAACCTTTTGGCTAATAGTTTAGGTTTGGTTTGTGGGTGGTTATTGGTTGTTTAATAGTATAATATTATAGAAGGACCGATTTTTTTCTTAAGTGACTGTTTTACATCTAGTGCATATAAAACTTCTACAGGCAAGAAAGCTATATTAATATGCGATTTTAGCAATAGGGAATGTTCAGAAGATTTTTCAATATATTTACACTAAAATCTGAGTTAATTTTTTTTGGCACTGGAGGTAAGCAATTTTGTATGGATTTTGGTGGATCTCCCTTAGGCGAATATTTTGTTAGTGTCTAACTATAAAGAGATTAAATATTAATCTTGATGATATTGTACCTAGAACTAAAATTAAACGGAATCAATTCGTAAAAAAAAACAATGGGTTTAAAATGCGGGTTTTAATACTTTTTTACATAACTCGACGTTTCGCATCCTTTACAGGATGCATCATCTGAAAAGTATGATTCATAATTATTTTTGACGATAGTAAATTTTAAAAATCAAAAACCCGACTGTAAAAAAAACTTTGTTCATTACTTAACAGAATTCTAAGACTTCTAGGTCTGAATTAGAAAGCAGATGGGTTTTTTGATGTTTTAAATTTAAAATTTTATTGCCGACATTTTATTTTCATTTTGTTATAAGCTGCACATTTATTTATATATTCTAAGTGGTCTTTTAAAACCTTTCGCTTTGCGCTGAATGAGTTATAAGCAATGGTTTTTTCAGGATGTTTCATTTTGGCCCCAAAGTAAAGCCATGAATCGCTCATTCTTAAGCCATGCAGTTAAGTTGTAGGCAATATCTAGCTTCATGATTAAAGGTTAATAAATTTACTATCTTCCCAGAAAACCTTAAAACGTGCTTAATACTTTACGTAGTAAACGAACATTCTAACAAATCTACACTTGTAACGTACCTCAGGAATCGTCCCATCATTTTGACTATCATAGGTTCCATGTCACACATATTATCATCTAACATCATCGATATTCATCATATATTTTATTATGTATTTCTGGAAACACACAATTTCAAAAATATCACACACTATTCATCATTTTGTAAATACGTATAATAATTCCATCTGTACTGAAAATCACTATTCCAGAGTGCTGGACACTTACCGGCATTTCTCTATATTCTGTTATTTATTTAATTTACTTGTATTTCTCCGCTTTTATATATATTTTAGGCATATATTATTTTCTTTACTTTCTTGACATTTGTGCCTCTTAATGTTTTTTATCCGTTGCCATGGCTACCCATGACACGGATGCTCTTTCCAACTACGTCTATGCCTATTCAACCTCCACGGACCACCTATTTTGATTCTTTTCAGTTCGATTCGAACCGTGTCTAAATTTAAATGGTTCCGGACCTATAAAAAGCCGAACCTCCCTGATCTTTGATTCATTTCTACGATAAAAGTTGCCAACTCAACTTTTAATAGCTCGCTACCGAGCTCTAAATTAATAAAAAGCCTTTTCCCGGGGCCGACTGCCCCGGGACTCAAGAAAGACCTCAACGCTTTACAAGCACCCTTTGGCTCACTAAACCTTACTCTACTCTCTTCACTAAACTTTCAACCTCATCAGCGGAAGTGCCGCCTGGTCTCCAGCTTCATCGCCCGACTACCAGCTGCGCCTGCCGTTCATCAGCAGCTCCTGCCACCGGCCGATATTCGCCGGCCAACCTACCAGCAGCGCCTGCCAGCCACCAGTAAGGCAGTCCAAGAATTCGGAGGCGCCTCACCAGGAACGTTTCAATCTTCAAGGAGCGCCGTCCATCTGTCTGCAGCACGGCCTCCCGTTCAAGCCGCCCCTGAAGATCGCCGACGACCCACGCCCACTTTACATCCCACACTTCACACACTCATACCATACCCTATTTTCTTTTCTATATTTTTCTGTAAATACTTTATTCTTGTAAATATATATATTTTGGAGTTTACTCCTTAAGAATCGATTTGCATATATAAGGGGCCCGGTATGAGAAAAATGTGAGGATTAAAATCTATCGATGAATGACCTCGTTACGTTTTTGGTGCGCATCCTATGTCGCGCAACTTTGACAAACAAAGATGACGGATTGACATTAATAAAAAAATTAAAATCTGAACTGAATTTAGATATTGTTTCTGATAGAGCAATGGGGACAACGAGGTATGGTACAACCATTGATGCGGTATTTTCAAGATTCGTGAACCACGTATCTAGGAACGTCCATGTGTCTTATTTTAGTAACCAAAAACCACTTGTAACTGTAATTAATAATGCAGACAATGTTGATTTAATTAATATTTAAAAGAATGATAATAGTCTGATAATAATAATTACATAATTTATCAACATTCCAAATGATATATTTATGCACATCTGAAATTGACTATTGTAAAAAGTTTAATGTAAAATATTTCGTCGATTAATTATAGTAAATGTATATGAAATGAATAAATATATATTTATAGATGTATATTATTTTCATTAATTTGTTAATTTACCCTTTCATACAGTATCAATCTTTTTTAAGTTAAATAAACTCTTTTTGCGCCTGGTTAGACTATCGAACTTAAGGAGTAAACTCCAGTCGTGCGTCGGAGCTGACACACACATTTTTATATAACCTCTTCCTGTTTTTTTTTTATTTTGTCGCTACACGACATTCTGAATGACAAAATTAAGATTATTGGTCTCATTACATTAACTTCTCATAACAATTTTGTCTCATAATTGATATAAATCATCCACAAAAGTTAAAATTATATACCGAACAATATTAAAAAGCTCAAAGATAATAAAAATTAACGTAGTTCGTAGCCGATGAAACCGTAGTAAGAAACTACAGTTCGTAGCACCTTTAAAATTCGGCTAAAATTTTAGTTTAGTTTAGATTAATATGTTATGTGCTAAATGTGCGCTTAGAAGAAGAAGAAAGAAGAAGTACAGGTTTTTCTGTTGTAGATGAAATTAGAAGTGCGTATAATGAAAGGCCTACAAAATAACATCATAATAATATTATTATTATGATGTTATTTTGTAGGCCTTTCATCATCATTTGGATCATACCCTTTATTTTAATATAATTTTTCTTTTTATTCACGTTTCGTAATTTTGTCTCCTTTTCATTTTAATAAATAATTTCAATGTATTTTTATTTTTATTCAGTAAATACTAATTTAGTACATTTTTTTTAAGTTTTGACGACTTACCATATTTCTCTTCCTAACTAGTTCAGGAAAAACCAAGTTTAAATTAGGAATTATCGTAGATGTGCTCACAATTTTGTGTACATTTGTTTTTTTATAAAGTATATAGATATTACATTTAAAATACTACCACGTCATTTATGATATTTATACGTAATGTGAATGATTCTCTAGATAATCACGATTTTTATTCACCAGGGAAAACCAATTACGAATGGTCCATTTTTTGTTTGAACAAATAATTTGCAGACTTCCCTTTTCTTTTTCATATTAAAGTTGTAGTTTAGCCCAAAATGATGAATTCAGGCCCACCATGACCATACTTCTGGTTGCATTAAAAAGACCTTTAAAACTTAAAAAGGGCTTTGAACTTTATGTAGCGGATTTCTCGATTTGGTTAAATGTCGCATAATTGATTTTGCCTGCATAACCACGATATGTAAATCGTAGATATACATATTATTATGATGTTATTTTTGAATACACTTTTTAGTAAGTATTAAGGTGTTATCTTATGTTTTTATTCACATCAACACTTTTTGATCGGGTATAAAGTGAATATATATATAACAGCTTATGCCCGCGACTTCGCCCGCGTGAATTTAGTGATTCAGGCAGCAAATTTTTACCAAATCTTTTTCATCATCTGCTTACTATTTAAAAAATATAAAGTTAGCAGTTCAAAACAACGAGTGTAATTTAAGATCCAGTTATATTGTATAAACTAGCGGCCGCCCGCGACTTCGTACGCGTGGAATTAGTTATTTGCACATACTTTTTGACCCAAAAAGGGGGTTTATTTATAAGATAAGATACATTATTTGTAGGTACACCTCTACACCATCTATAGAGCATACATGTTAAATTTTAAGTCTCTTACTTCAAAAACATAGGACTTTCATACAAAATTCCAACCCCCATATTACCCCATTAGGGGTGGAGTTTCGTAAAATTCGTTCTTAGCGGATACTTACACCCTATAAGGAACCTACATACCAAAATTTAAGTTTGTAGATATTATAGTTTCTGAGATTTCGTGATTAACCAGTGAGTGGTATTTCGCTGCGACGTCGTCTGCGTGAACGCTATACAGCACCAAAAATACATAGATTATACCTTTTAAAATAACATTTATGTACCCGTTTCTTCTTTACATTTCATATCTACAGAAAATGCAGTAACAGAGGAAGACTGTCTTTTGTAAAATTGAC